CAGTCTCCAGGAAACAGGGCCCAGGAAGTGGCCAAACACATCACCACCTAGCATTAGGTGGCAATGCTCAGCTGCCTTCTGCCTGCTTAGAGGGTCTTTCTCAACATTCCTTCTCCCAACTAAATTACAAATATAACAGTTTTTATAATCCTGTAATTTTCAACAGCCTTGTTCAACCCCAAGAGATAGATATAAATACCTACACGTCTTTAGTTGCTAGATTTGCCTTAGGAAATACACACTTACTAATCCTTAGACACAGATTTGTTTTAGGCGACCCTACGCAGTTAATTCCAGTCCCTTTCCTCTAGATTTTTCATTAAGGAAACTGACTACTGAACTGCACACTCCCAGAGGGCACAGCACAGCCAACTACAGGGGGCCCAGTTACCCATGGCTGTCCCTAATAGCCACAGTTACCATATTACAAATATTGATCATTTTGTAAATAGGGTTGGATTTTGTTATTGATGAGCTTCCATGCTTTTTGAAAAAATAGATTTTAACCTATCTATAAAATAGCCTAGAAGTCATGAGTCAGGGGAGGTACTATAATTTTAACCATACGAGTTTACAGTCCTGCATTTAAAAAACATCATAAATGATAGGAAAATGAAAATGTAGTCCGAGACCTGTGCTTATCCTGCCTACAAGCCACATCTTTAGAACCAAGTGACATACCAAAACTGTTAAGTTTCTGGATCCAGGTGGCCAATTTTGGCTCTACTTCTTTAAGTTCACTCAGAACATGCAGAAATATTCTTGTCTTTACTCTATTCTTTTCTTGAATCAAGTGACAGATGACGTAGTCCACTGCTTCATTTAGAAAATTTCTGCTAGAAAAACATGTAGTGTAGTCTTCGGTGCTTAAGACCTTCCAAGAAAGCAGCTCTCTGAGGAGCTGGGAAGTATTCAGTACACCAGATTTAATCTTGTCAGCATACTGCTTTATGCACTGCAGAATTCTGTCGTCAAGGAACTGGCACCTCTGAACACTGTCTACAATTTCTAAGGGTAAACAACAGTGATCAGTAAAATGAAGAAATAGGGCCAATTTGCAAAGATATAAACTCACAAAGAATATTATACAATAATGTTAAACATGACTCAAATTATACAACTCTAAAAATTTAATATTATTTATATTTAATAAATACATTTAACAGTACCATTGAAAAGTTCATGTCAAACCAAACCTATCAAAAGTACCCACCTTATCTCCTTCTCTTTGCACTGCTTAGGTAACATCTTCCCTCAGTCTCATCAATTAGCTACATTTAGTAGTTAATAATGTTTCATCAATAAGTATGTAAAAAGTTCTATTTTTTTTATGAGTTTAGAAGGATTTTTGTTTTTTCAGTTATGAATTAGCAAATATTGGTAGTCATTGTATTAGTCATCTTATCATTGGGCCCTACAATTATAAACCCATAGATCACTGACTCCAGGATGGAAAAGATCTCAGTATTTCATCTTCGCACCTCGCATTTCCCTAACTGATAACCAGTCAGCCTTTTGAAACATGCAAAGTTAAAATACATTCACTGAAAAATCTTTTATTGGGAAAGAACTTTGATTGTGAAACACTACTGAAATGCTAAGTAAAAATTAAAGACAGCAAGAGGAATAACTTCATTTGGGAAATAGTGATGTATAATAGTAAAAAATGAGAAAACTTACTTTCATTCAAAACTGAAACTAAGTCAGTCAACACTGCCCACAGGAACAGTGAAATTACCAACAAGATAAACCATGTTGATCAGGAAATGGTGGACAGCTAAGTATAAAACTGTGAAACTCAGGCATGTCAGGTATTTTCAGCTTCACAGAGATAGTATTAAAATACTAACTGAGGGCCCTCCCTGGTGGCACAACAGATTAAAGCACAGCACTATGATGCTAGACGCAGCCACCTCACGAGTTCCATCCCCAGCCAGGAAGGTGACCCATATGGTGTGGCAGACCTCTCCTGACCCGCCCGCTGCTCACCTCAGCAGTGCACTTCAGTAGATAGGCCTGTTCTGCTCCCCACTCTGTCTCTGGTGAATCCTCTCCCCACCCTTGCTCTGTGGCCTGTACCCCAGTTCTATATGCATAAATAAATAAATCTTTAAAAATAATAATAAAATAAAATACTAACTGAAACCAAAAGTTCAATTCAATAACAATTAATTTAAGACCAAGTTTTATTTATACTTTTAAGCAAGAGTACATCACTCCAAGTACATCACGCCTGAATTTCAACATACCTTTCTGTTCCTCAGTTTTGGGAGGATTACTCTCCCTTAAGTCCTCTTCCATTCTTTCTTGTGCTAATTTTTTTGCTTCCTTTTTTTGAATCTTTCGCTTCAATTTTTTGTCTTCTTTCAGTCTTAACTTCTCTAGGCTGATAGACATTTATGATTAGTGATAATTCACCTGTGGTATAAACTCAGTTGGCTATTTTCTTTTACCTATTATAGAAATTATTAAGTACTAAGACAGACATTTTCTCGCTAGTTAGAACTAGGCCTTCACCTTCCATTCAAATTACAAATTGTTGACATATGTGATCAACTCAGTAAAATTAAGAGTACACTATTTCATGAAAACATGATCCTCCATGATTGAGTGACTTCCAATTAAGGATGGCATGTAGAGATTGTACAGATGTTATTTCCATGTACATATTAGCCACTGCTTAGGGTAAATAGGAATAGTAAAATATTAACTCTGCCAAGAAATATGTGCACTCATTGCAAACAAGGAGCCAGAGTAAAATATTATTTTCACATCTCAACAATAGTCCCTAACTAGAATGTGACTGATGTGATACAGTGAGTTTTCTGCAACAAATAATTCTGTTCATCTTTTTCTTTTGCCTTTTCTTGGTAACCAATGATGGTGGAAAAAAATCACTTTTTAGAAGAAAAAAGAAGGACTAAAAAAGAAAAAGGACTGGAGTTATCTGAAGAAGAGATAGAGAAGGAAATCATTTTGAAAGCATACTGAGCATTTCAGAGTGAGAGCTTTGGTTATCTGTTAGGAAGAAATTAAAAAGGAAAAATACTTTTGGAATTAAAAGTTTCAGCAATGAAGAGCAAAAATATGATTATTACCTAAGTGCAAAATCTATCAAACATGTCATTTCATAGTATCAAATGTCATAATTTTACTTTAAATTCAACTACTAACTCAAGTTTTTCTTACTTAATTATATCCAGCTAATTCTATTTAAATTTTAAATATCCATAGAATTCAATAAAAAAAATTCTTACTTAGACATGTGTTCACAGTAGATTTTAAACCTGCATTTAACTGAAACACTCCAGGAGACATCATTAAGCTACTGATTGATGGTTAAAGTTCTTACCTAGAACATTTCTGTTTCAGAATAGGTCTTGGAGGAACCTTTTCTTTTATGACCTTGTGTTCAAACTTTAAATAAAACAAAGACAACCAAAATTTGTCTCATACTCCCATGACACAGCACAAAACCACAAGTAACGAACATTTAAAAAAACACATAATGTTCAACTGGGTAGAAAACAGTGATGATTTTCTGATCCAGACATATGTCCAGAATGCTCTAGCCAAGCAATTTATTAAAAAGAGGAACAAAGATAGACAAACTTTAGAAGTTAAAACAAGACTAAGCAGATCAAATAAACTGCAAATGTTACAATTCCTTCCTGCCACTCCCCAAATGTGAAGTTAAGATAATTCTTCAAGACACTTTTTCCTCCAAGAACCCCAAGCTCCCACCAAAACCAAGAAGTGTACTGGGGTTAAGAAAACAAAGTTATGGGACAGGTAAAACCGCAAATGTAAAAGGCTTCCTTTTCATATTAGGAAACAGAAGAATGTGCGACTTCATCACTGCAAAGAGGTAGCCTCACATCCAATTTCCTGTCCGTTTAAAGTAAGTAACTATTTCTTTCCTTAAACAAAACCAAAAAAAAAAAAAAAAAAAAAAAAAACAACCAAGATCCATATTGCACAATTTTCACAAATGCAAATCAATTTTTTAAATGTCTGGGGAATTCTGGTTATCAGTGTAATAAAATTTTTCAATTATTACATACATACTTCGCATTTAACTTGACCACCACTGCTGAAGATGATAATCTTAGAAATGATTCCTTCACAGTCAGGGGTAAGACAAATTCCTTGTAGAAAATCCTATTAAATTAAAAAACAGAGAGTGATTTGGTGATGGGAAACCCAAGGGGACTGCAACTGAGGTGGAAAAATGCACAAAAATATGTAAAAATATACTATAAGATTTAAAAAAAAGATTAAAAAAGAGAGCAAGAGTGCACCGTATTTCAGAATAAACCTATACAAGTCTCAGAATAAATCTACACATCACGTGATTTTAAATTGCTCCCTTAGTGTCAAAATAAGGTCTTGCCGAAGGCACGGAAATACTGCTCATTGCCACGGGACTTTGTCTTTTTTTAATTTGCACAGAAGAACTGGGGCATAGGCCAGAGGCATAGTGGGGTGAGAGGATTCACCAGGGACAGAGTGGGGAACAGAACAGGCAGATTTCTGAAATCCATTGTTGAGGGGAGCAGCAGGAGACAGGAGAGGTCTGCTGCACCCTGTGGGTCACTCCCTGGCTGGGGATCAAACTCAAGCCTTAGTGGTGATATTGCTGAGACTTAACCCCTAGGCCACCAAGGAGGGCCCTGTCATGGAACTTTTGAAGCTTCCCTGTAGCAGATATGAGCTGCCTGCTTTAGAAAGCTGATCATGTGACTTGATTTGGTTAATTCAAGACATGCTAACAGGAGGTAATCTGTGCCTAAGCTAAAATTCTAAGAACACTACATGGGTTGGCCATGGTTCTTTGCCCTGTGCCACAAAAACAGTCAGTTCCAACTTTGATTCAGAAACATAAGTCAGTCACATAGACTAGAGCTGCTACAGTTCAATCTTGGCCAATAGCTGTGGTACTTCCAGAGAAATAAGATAAGGAAGGGATGAAACTTTCTTTTTCTGAGTCACAAACTATTTAGGCTGCATATAACTCCACTATACTGAGTAAGAGCTGCCTAACTTGGCAGAGGGTGTTTCTATAAACCCATGGAATGGTCAAACCACTAAGGGAGCATGTCCAGCTGCAGAAATCCAATGAAGACATCGCAGAAGTGTGAGTAGTGCCTTGCTTACATCCTAATACCCTTAGTTAAAATTATGTGAAAAAAGGGCCCTCCCTGGTGGCACAATGGGTTGGGACGCAGCACTGCAGGCTGGCTGCAGCAGCTTCAGTGTAAGTTCAATTAATCCTAGGCCCCGGAGGTGATCCACAGGGTGCAGCAGACCTCTCAGGGTGCAGCAGACCTCTCCTGTCCTGACCGCTGTTCCCCTCAGCAGTGTACTTCGTCCATCTGCCTGTTCTGCTCCCCACTCTGTCTCTGAGGAGTGCTCTCACCACCCCTGCACCCCTGGCCTGTATTTAAGTTCTATATGCATAAATACATGAATGAATGAATCAATAATCAATCTTTAAAAAAATAAAAATAAATAATAAAAAAACTACGTGGAAAAGTACAGTATATATTTATACCAAATGTGAATAATTCCTATTGCTGACAGATACCTAGCACAGCCATCCTCTCCTTTCCCAAGTAAGGACATGGTTTTACAGGAGGTTGCACAATGTAGAAAAAGTTTTTCCTCGTTTAAGTCCATTGCCTACATGGATCAGAAACAAACTCTACGAATGCAAAAATGAATATAAAATTACACCTTCTCTCAACGCATTCCTAGCCAGTGGTAGTTAACATCATTATCTTGCTAGTGAAGTCAAGCCCCAGTAAGTGGAGTACAAAATTTAAGTTGATTTCCAGGTACAAATCACTTCATCATATCTTGGCAGAAAATAAAGAAATCAGAGCCTAATTTTACATCATAACTTCAAAGTAATTAAATGAACGATCCCTGAAGAATTAAAATTGTCAGTGCATAATTTAACAACTATATTTTAAAATTAGACATTTAAATTTTTATTTTTTATTCTAAGATCTCCACTATTAAATACTTATTAAACAATTTATTAAAGGCTTCTATGGTTACTGCCTTTACACTTGTATAAAACAAAAACAAAACCTGATTTCCTACTTTACCTTTAAAGTTTCAATTTAAAACTTTCTAATTATGTCTAGAATATACAGAAATTAATATCCTTTTCTGAAGATTCTCAGGAAAAAAATGATTAACATACAGTAAGCATACTACAAAAGCCAATCTCATTAGGCTTACCTTGTCAATTTTATCATTAAAGGTTGTTGTCTTTAACTTCTTCCAACAGTTCATGTGAAATTCTATTTTACAGTACTGACAACAGCTAATTCGTATAAAACCCTGGGGGGTTAAAAAGATTTTTAATTCACAATTTTTTAATTTTAAAGATGCCTATACACACACACACACTCTTCCTTTTTCTCTCACACTGACAACATATATTAAGTCAGAGCTGTCTGCATTCACCTGGCAGACTCACTAGACACAGCACTTCCTCCAGGGGGGTGTAGTACTTCCCACAGCGCCCCTGCTGGAGGTGAGGACCTGGACTGACATGCTCATTTCCATGGGGTACATGGGCATTATCCTTTATAATGTATCAAGTATCTTAGAAATATTTCACCTGATCTGCTAACCAGGGACAGCAGCCAGCAGCTACTATCTTCTAAGGCTCAATAACTTACTCAAATAAATACCAAGTTTGGTCTCAAATTTAGATCTCTAGAGGCTAATTTAAAGGTCCAAATGGCCTTTAACTCTTCGACACACATTTTATAAGAGATTAGAATTGCAATAAGTCAGAGGTCACAGTCTCTTTTTATTTCCTGTGCTGCTGAAATACAGGCAATTGTGTGAAACAGTGGCTGGAAAGAATTAGGGACTTAATCTGCTTTCTCAAATTACCACCCCATCCTCCATGGTTATTTCAGCATCTCTGGGTTCCCATGTGAGGTCAGTCTGGCAAAGCAGAGAAGACAGAAAACTGCAGAAAAGCCAGAGAACACAAATACTTCCAGTTTCAGTAATTTGTCCTTAGTCCTCTTTAAGGTATAATTCTGCAAGTCAGTATCTTGATGTATATTCACTATTACCTTAAAGTCTGGATCAGTGATGTATATCTGGATTTTGGAATAGCCACGGCATTTCTGGTAGCAACAGATGGCATCTGGCACTGGAGGGAACTTGCATTCTTCAATAAATTTTTCCAAAAGCATCTAAAATAAAAACACTACTATCATACCAATTAATCAATAAAAACGTTGATTTCAACAACTTCTCCAATCAAAATATTTTTAATACAGAAAAGACTTTTCTAATAAAAACAAACTACACTGAACATTGAAGTTTTCCTTTTAGGAGGAGACTGATACAGAGCCATGTCAAGAAAAATGGAGATGGGGGAGAACTGAACAAAAAAAAATTCAGATTCAGAATCAAAATCTTAATCCTGTGTTATAATCATCAAAACCTCACTTTATAATACATAACTGAGGGAACTCCTTTAAGCATCCAAAGGAGTCAAGAGAGCAACTAACCCTGAGCTGCGGCTCCCCTCTCTCCAATACCACTTCACCTAGAAGCTTATCACTCATCCCTCTCTCCCCGACAGTCCCGGCCACCTGTGCTTGTTGCTGCCCTGGGGAGTTACGTCACAGCTGCAGAAGCCTCCAACAGACTCAGGCCATGTTTCCAGTGCTAGCTTCTTGTTATCAACAGTTCAAGAGAGGAAACTTCACCCACCATTTTGTTTTATAGTAACTGTTGATATAATTCTTATTTCATACATTTCACACACTTATATAGTTCAGTAGTTTTCAGTGTAGTCAGAGACTGTATAATCGTTCCCACAATATAAATTTATAACATTTTCATTACCCAATAAGTAGAAGTCTCTCCCCATTCTTTCTAGAGCACCTGACAAATCTACTTTCTGTCCCTATGTGTAGATTTGACTATTCTGGAGATTTCATATGAATGGAATTCATAAAATACATGGTCTTTTGTGTCTAGTTTCCTTCTGTTTCTTTAACATGTTTTCAAGATTCCCTCATGGTACAGCCTATGTCAGTACTCATCCCTTTTAATGGCTGAACAGCATTCAGCTGTATGAGTATCCATGTTTTATTTAACTACTAATTCACTGGTTGTTAAATAATGAGGCTATGAACACTCAAGTTTTTGTGGGAACATGCTTTCCTTTCTTGAATATACTATGAATAGAATTTCTGGGTTGTACAACCACCCTATCTTTAACTTACTGAGAAACTGCCAAACTGTTTTCCACAGCAACGGTACTATTTTACATGTCTGTCAGCAATGTATGAGTTCTCATTTCTCTATATCCTTGCCAATGTGTGTCACTTTCTGCCTCGTGATTATGCCATCCCAGTGGGTGTGAAGTAGTATCTCAATGTGGTTTTAATTTGCTTTCTCTGACAGCCAAGGTTGTTGAATAGCTTTCATGTGCTTAATGACTATTGTGTAACTGCTTGCCAGATGTGTCTCTTCAGATCCTTTGGTGCTTGTTAACAAGATTATGTGTGCTTTTATTATTAGATTGTAAAAGCTGACCCTTGTGCTTTTAAAACCTCAGTGAAAAGTAAGATCTCAGCACATGCCAGAATTTACCATAAGTAAAAATCTATCCCAGTCAATTCTCACATAAGGTAGATTTTCTAGAACTAGCAAAAATCCAACACTTTTGGATATGAAACTAAATTACACTTTCAACCTTAAGTGTGATCTCAATAGCTAGAGTGACTGTGATAAAACAACGATGTTCTACCTTTCTCTAAGTAAAACCTAGAACACACTGCTCAACAATGGATGCTCTGAAATCAGAATAATAGATTCACATCCCAACTCTACCATTTCCCAGCTGTTTTCACCTTGAGCTTGTTATTTAACCCCATCTGTAAAATGGGAAGAATCACAATCCTCAACACTGCAGGGCTGTTGAAGGGCTAAAGGGAGTAAATGGAAGGTACGTGACAGGAAACAATAAATGTGAGTGAGGAAAAATGCACAGGGGAGCTGAGGCAGCTGGCCAGCCTCTGTCTCCTGACTCCGAGGTCAGTCTTTATAAAGAAGTTCTCTGCAGAAACAAGCAGTTACCTTTATTTTCCCTGGCTGAGTCTCCTCAATAATCACATTACTTGTGGGCCAGGTCAACACTCCAGGAAGTCGGCAGATCAAGGTTCTTGCTTTCTCAAAGTGATTAAGAGCCTCCAGAAATCTAAGTCAGATCATGAAGAAAAAAAGGTAGTATCGTTTCATTGACACAACAAAAGTCAGAACTTTCATGTTAGTAGGAAGCATGTGTCTGATAAATCACTATGTAAAATATTCATTGTAACTAGATGTTCTTTAAAAAGCCAGGGCAAAACTGCTGTTGCTATAAAAATGACATAAATTAAGCTCGTTTGTCTAGACACCGGTTTTAACACAGCAGGTGGACACTAGTCCTCTCAAAGTTTTTTTTTGTTGTTATTGTTTTTTAACTTTCCAACAACTAAAAAAAAACTGAGTAAGGATCTAATTACTCCATCTTTTGGCTTCATTTGCTAAGCTAATCGAAGTCGAAAGCAACCCTCCACTTTAATCATAAAAAGGACTCTACTAGGACATCGATATATCAATATTGAAAATCTCTCTGCTGAAAAATCAGAGACCATGATCTCTGGATATTATTCTTCAACCATAAAGCAGTGAATTAATTTAACAAAACATATACAAATATATATATATATATATATATAGTTTTAAAAATATTTTAGTTCTATCTGATTTGAATTATGGCTTCAAAATATAATGTCAACAGATTCCAAAGTCCATTCAACAGAAGGGTATTAACATATTGGTTATAAAAGTCATCAGTCTTTATTCTTCTCTTCAGACCAGACAAGGAGAAGCTGATATTCCACTTTTCCCAGCCTTTAAATGAAATCTATGCTTGTCTATGAACATAGAAAAAATTCCCGAGTGTGGAATTGAACTCCCAAAATTATACAACTGTAGAAAGACTGTTGCTAAATCAATAAAGTTGGGGGGGTGGGCCGCAGGAAAAGGGGGAATTCACTTCCAAAAAAGCTAGAACACCATTTACCATTACATAGTTTTATAGAGCGAGCAGACTTTAAACCAAAACTGTACATTCAAATGGCAAAAAAAGGGCCCTCCCTGGTGGCACAGCGGGTTAAAGCACTGCACTAAGAAGCCTAAGCCACTTCCCCACGAGTTCAATCCCTGCCTGCCCCAAGGAGGTCCACATTGCGTGGCAAACCTCTCCTGACCCGCCCACTGCTCCCCTCAGCAGTGTACTTCGTCGATCTGCCTGTTCTGCTCCCCGCTGTTTTTGGTGAAGCCTCTCACCCTCCGCATCTCTGGCCTGTACCCCAGTTCTGCATGCATAAATAAATAAATCTTTTTTAAAAAATGGCAAAAATGGCCCTCCCTGGTGGCGCAGCGGGTTAAAGCACAGCACTCAGAAGATTAAGCCACTTCCGCATGAGTTCGATCCCCGCCTGCCCC